GAAATAAAATTACTTAGTTAATTAAAAAGATTATACAGGGTATTTATTTTAAAGGATTCATTCAAATATTTTAGAAACTGCATTAAATCGAAAAATGTTTCAGATAAAAGTTTTTTGACTTCGAGAGAAACATGAGATGGTACCATTGGTTTGACTTTGAGTGGCAGTCGAGTGATTGTTGAGGTCAAGACTTTAAATTTTTTAAACGGAACCATTTTTTATTAGTAGTTTACTTCGAGAGCTTTATAGAACATCATAATAAGTAATTTTTTTATTAAGTTTAACTTTTCGAGTTATAAGATTTGAAAGTTACAATATCGTCGGAATTAGCATTATTCAAGACGTCCGACTGATGACTGAAATCTATTATTTATTAAATGATCATGATATGGATAAGTCAAGATCAAAGTCATCGGAAATTATATCTCTTTTTCATTTTTATGTAAAAATGAGTTTTTTATCCAAAATGAGAGGTACAATTCCAATGGCATTGAGCTTGGCAAATATTAACCAGTCATGATCCTGAACAACATTTAAGAAATTTTAATCGATCGGACACCTTGAGTAATGTTAATTACTTAAGGTGTCCGACGGTATTGTAAATTTAAATCCTTGTAACTCGAAAAGTATTTAATGAAAAAATTTTTTAGTATAGTATTCTGAAAAGTTCTCAAAGTAACTATAAAGTACCATATATATATATTATAATTTCTGATTTCTTGTTATATCCTTACTATCTCTATAATATATTTGTAATTGTAATTATTTATTATAAAACGATTTAATACAGAATATAACGCTAAACAGTTTATTTTATATAATTCTGGATATACCTATTTGTTTCCATCGTATTATAGCGTATTTCACTGATATTATTAGTAGAGGTAACGTTGTCTGTAAATTATTTATTACAAATATCATATTGCCCCAAACTTCTATAACTGTACATATCATTGGAACATTAGAAACAAATATTAATAAAACAAAAATGACTCCGACCCAAATTTTTGACAAGTTTTTTTTAGTACATTTGTTAGGTACAAGCCCACCATTTCGAAACCTAAGCGATGCAGATTAACTACCCATATGAAATCTATTAAATTTTTACAAGATGTAAGTGATTTAGTTATAATAAGTGCAAACAAATATTAAAAGATTAAATGTTTATAGAAAAATGTTATATAGAAAAAAATGACGACAATATAATATCTTAAGAATAAATTAACAAGACAAAATTATATATTTACGATATATATTAAACTAGCACAAAATTAATACCTGGGTATCCTGGAAATCTTGTAATGTCCATATCGAGACTAGAACATGAGATCTCATTTTTTCATCCTTATGATGCAGAATGAGAATCACGCATGCTCTCTATACAAATATTATACAAAACTCGATAGTCTTATCAAATGAGGATCACATTAAATATTAAAAACATTTCCTAATTACAGCAATTGATATCGTGAGAAAGAAATTTATAAACGTTTATGTTATAAAAAGCGTTTATGTCTGGTCTAAAATATGAGACAAAAAGTATTGCATCGCCTTGTAAGTAATTGCTGAACTCGCTTTAAAAGTTTTTTCATGTTGCATGTTGTTCTATTATGTATGCGTCTATTGCGAAAATAACGCCATTGCATTTTTAATACGATTTTCTATAGCTACAAAAATGTATGAAAGAAAAGAGATAATAAGAAATTGCATATTATGCGTATTTTTACATGTCTCTCTCAAGGACATCAGGATCGATTATTTTATGAGTAAATGCATTATTTCTTCAACTCTAGACAATAAATACATTATAATTCGTAATTTACAATTGTTTCAAGTGATAAAATTTCTATGCATTAAAACTGCAATTTTATAACATATGTAGTTTTCAATGATCTGGCAACAATTTCTTGCAATAAGATAATCAATTTGATCGAATATTTTTCTGTTTATCAAAAATTTCTTAACATTGTAAGTGATAAAACTGACTAGATGGCACTAACGTAGTTACATTTTTGTCACATTCATTTAATAAAACACGAATAAAAATTTATGAAATCAATACATACAATCTAATTAAAATACAAACATTAAAGGAAAATTTTATACTATATTTTCCAAATTATTTTTAAACGTAATGCACAGACATAATCTCCATCGAATTATTCCTGTGCAATGAAAATATAAAATGTTTATTGGTATTATATAATTTATAAGAAGCAGCAACGAATAGATAAAATATATTTATTTCTTCAATACGGTAGCAATAAAAGGTATTTTATAGGTAGGAAAATTTTCACTTGTAGCTATGTAATATTGTGTCGAACATATTTATTTATATGCTTATGTAGTACATTGAATATTAATATATCATCTTCAGCCATGTTTAGTCAATAGAAATGATACATAACCAATCGATGATTTTAATATCTAAAATTAATTATTATTATTATTTTCTGATATTTGAGATATTTGAGATATCATTAATATCGATTAATGTTCTTGTTGTGTACATGTATGTAAAAATCAAGGTACTGATTGATTCTGATATTAATGATTATTTTTATGACTACTCAATTTAAATTAATACAAACATTTTTTTAAATGTAATTTTGTATAAATATTTGAAATGGGTGATAAATATTTGATATGTATCGTTATTATGTTACAGTAATATTTGTGGCTATAATCCCTATTCAGATGTATACATAGGTATGTTATATAGTTATCATAATCGAAATGTAATAAATATTTAACATTCTCCTCTCAGTTATATCTTACTTTAACAAAAGTCAACAGCAAGATTGTAAATATTGTAAATAATAAATTCTCATTTATAAAAGAGAAATACAAAATATTTATGTTCCGAGAAAACTGACAGTTACATAAATTTTAAAAACTGTATTATTGCAAAAGAAAATAATTTATCGAGTTAGATTATCATTTTTATGTCCTTATTTTTTAGCTCTCTTAAAATACTCATTAAAAAAGTTGTTTTATTTTATCAACATATATAGCAAAAAATATAATAGCAAAAAGATAATAGCAAAAAAGTAAAATTAAAGCGAAAGAAATTTAAGTAATCTTACACTGCAAAAAGTAGTCATTGTTAATGGAAAAATCTTTCCAGCAGTAATACAAAAAGGACGTTTGGTTTGTATCATTAACAAGATAAGACTTCTCGCCTTTTTTGATTCTAATTTGTACCATTCAAGATCGCACATTGCACGATATACTGCATTGCACTTAATGAATACATATATTATAATATAACAAAACATTAATATTCGTGCTATTTCAATGAAAATTATTTTCAGAAGTAACAGTATTTCTAGTAACAGTTTATTGGGATTTAAATAATTTTTTAATAAATATATTTTACTTATATAAGTATTGTAAGTATAACTTACTTGATTCGTTACAAGTTCTCCCGCTGCACAGTATAGCAAAGTATTCATCAATAAGACAATAATAACTAAAATCGAGAAATATCCTTCTGCAATAACAGTTTTCTCTATTTTTTTATCAATGAATATCTGAAACATGATAAGAACATGATAAAGAAATGTATGACATTAAAATATTTTCTCGCATTTGTTTTATTAAATCTTACAATAGTAAATAAAAATCCGCTTAGGCAAAATTCAATACCGAAATGAAATATTAATATTAACATCATTAAAGAGTACGTATTTTCGATATTCTCGACAAATCTATAAGAATAAAAGTATTTAAAA